CCCCCCCCCCCCTCCGCGTTCTCATTTGCGATGTTAGGTGGGATGCCGCAGCTAATCTGCCTAATCTTGTCTTGCAGGCTTTAGTCGGCACCACAGAATGTCAACCAGAAAGCAGTCAGTGCCGCTGAAACCCCACCTGGGCCTCAACCCGCAAATCCGGAAACCATTGGCAGCGACACGGGTGCACCATGCAGAGGCTCGGTCGTGCTCTTCATNNCTTCATGCGGCAGAAGAGCAGTCGCAACGCCAGGCCTGGTTTCCTTGGATTCAAACTTGGGATTTATGGCCGCACTCTGGTTGCGCTGCTCTTCTTCTGCTAGATACCTTTGACTTATAGCTACTTGTAGTATTTATCGACCTTTGCGATAGCAACGGGGCCAGGGTCTGACGGCCATTATCATACATGCGATTCTTCATCACTATACACCCTGGTGAGTTTCTTACCCCAAGGGGCAGTAGACTGGAGGCCGTCCTGGCAGCGTTGATTCGCGCGCTGCAAAGTGCCTCAGCATATTCTGGTTTCGATCTCGTTGGGTACGAATTTAGTTTCTTTAGTTATGTAGCTGGAGATAACATGACAGGCAGATGGAAGATGTTGGAAACACAGGGTAAGCAACACAGCTGTCATAACTCATAAGTACTGTATGTCTTGGCTGTTGCTCGTGCTGCTTGTACTCGAGCCTCCACATATACGCTGGGGTAAGCCCCAAAGTTAAAGCCCGTACCCTCCGACCCTCCGAGCCCCAAAAGACCCTAAACAGTAACCCACTGAGCCCGGGTAAACCATATGGGACTTTCCTAAAATAAGGGGTACCTTAATTTGGGGGTCCTTATAGTAAGGATCCTACTATTTAGGGTACTATATTAGGGTCCCCTATTTTCGGAAACCCCCCATATGCACACCCTCGCAGCCCTCCATGAGTCCGGCCCAGCCCAGGCCTTATTGGAAGTGTCGACTTAGCCGGCCCAGGAAGGCTTCTCAGCCGCTGCATGCATCTTGCAGGAAAGTTTTTTTGAGCTTTGGGTTTTCGTGTTTTTGGCCTTCGGATTTCTGGGTTTTTTTGGAACTCAGGGCTTAAGGGTTCGAGGCCTGAGGAGCTGCAGGTAACGGCTCCACCTTCAGGTTGTTGATCTTATTTGAAGGTGTGCGTTGGAGCAACTGAACGTTTGAGGTTTCGCGCGCTTGGACCCAACTGTTGAAGGACTGTGAGGTGGATTTTGCTACGGCAGGTTTGGGTGTCAAGCTTCGGGTTCATGTCGAAGGATGTAGAGTCGAGTGCGCAATTCGGGGTGAAACCGCGCCTCCAGACCACGTATCATGTGCACCATTGTGCAACCGTTTTTCGCCATGTCAGGGCTGTCTCCTCCTTCCACAGCATGTGCGGCACCTCTGTTCCGAATTGGTTGTTTGGCCATGGCAGAAACAGCCCGTGTGGTATGTAAATATTGTGCTGTCGTCTGAGGGGCTGCCAAAGAACCGTGCCTTTGCTTGTTTTTGGATAGTCGGAGCGCCGAGACCCTAAACCGTGGAGATACAGTATATACAGCATATTTGATCTTAGAATATAGTCGCTAGAAGGGGAACAAGCATCCCCAGGGCCCTGGACTTCATGCGCCTTGGGTTTCGTTTCATCGCACCTTTTGGGCGGAAGCTGATCGAGGCCAGGTGAGTCGGGCCACATGCAGAAAGTTTGGCTGAGGGGTTGGGTGGTTCTAACGGCTCAGGGCTAGGGATGCAGGAACAGCCGCGATAGTTGGAGCAACATTGCAAGATGCTAGGGAGTCAGGGTTCGGAGTTCTCCAGGTTGTGATTTCTCGAGACCGCAAGATGTCGGGTCCTTCGTTCCTTTACCAAAAAAAGGTGGGCAGTTGCGTAAAGGCGACGACGCAGCAGTAGGACAGGGATGCTACTAGATGCCTTTTCAGTTCGTAGGGTTGGTCGCTCTGTGTCGCGCCAATGGAAGGAGTGCCATGCGGCCGAGACGGCCAAACTTCTCAGACTGCTGTGCCGCACCTTTTGCTGGCTGCTGCTGCATGTGCCCGGGCACTTTGGAGTGGCTGATTCTGGCTTGGAAATCGGCCGTCCAGGGGAAGCAGCTTTACGGCCTTGGGGCCTTGGGGCTCTTGCAGTGAGATGGAGACCGACATGGAAACCGAATTGAGATGCAGAGAGACTGATGGAAAGCGCGACGGAAGCCGCAGCCAAGGCAGAGTTTGATGGCAGCATGTTCCTCAGCGACTCCTTCAAGCCAGACTCCTGGCTTCGCATTCAGAAACATCATAAGATTTGTGTGGGCTGGCCGGCCTGCGTGAGAAAGTTCCGATGTACCATGATGTACTTTATAACTGTCTCAGTCGTCCTTGCTTGCATGATCGAGAAACACTACTCCTCGATCTCGAATAACCTCATGCTCATTCTCATCATTCCGAATCATTCCGTTTATTTTTATGTCGTGGATGCTTGTTTTTCATGCTGGGGTGCAAGCTTGGAGCTATCGGGTTGGATTTGGGGGGTTTAGGGTTCGGGTATTGGCAAGGTTGCAGCCGAGTGGCTCATGCGGGCCAATAAGAAGCCGGACGCGCAGAGCAAGCCACTTGGCACGGACTGCATTCTGCAGGGGCCTATTTACAATAAGCATACGTGTTTTTGGGTATAGTATGATTGTATAGGGACTAGAATGGGTGGATTTCACATCCATGGAAAACTACGGAGAGCAGTAGGCCAGTTAGGAATTACACCTGCACAAGGACGCTCTTGGCCCTGTCGATCCTCGCTGCCAATTGCGGCGTGGGAACCAGTGCGCCAACAGGCGCCATGATGACTCTCATGTTGGCGACAGTCCAAGCAACAGAGGGGATTCATGTCTTTCTTTTTGATGCGCAGTATCAAGGAAACTGCCTCGTTTGACATCTGTTTACCTACACCCCAAAATCAACTGTGCACAGGCGTCCAGCTTCACGATGCATTGAAGCGCCTCTCGCGCGACAGCTACCTCGACTTGGAGGCGGTTTGGCTGATGCCGATGAAGTGCATGGTGTGCGTGTGTGCGTGTGTGTGTGTGTGTGTGTGTGTGTGTGTGTGTGTGTGTGCGTGCGTGCGTGCGGTGCAGTGTGATAAAGTTCGGGCTCCAATGTTACAATTGTGCCCGGAGAAGAGGAAGGTACTATGTCCCCTGAGTGTGCACATCCAGACGTGAACCCAACATGCTAGACACTGAATCGTTCTTGCTTGTGGGTCAGCTTTTGGTCTTTTATCGTCGGAAGTGTTACGAGTCAAGGTTTGCAGAGTCAAGGTGTCAGGCTGATGCACTCTACTGCTGGAGACTTTAGGATGGACGGCAGTGGACGTTCAGGTATGAAGCCTTCGGGAGTTATTCACATGGATGTAGATACAAGGGGCCGTCAGAGAGTAAGCACTTCCATGGGCACACGCTCTTTTTCCGGGGTAGATCCAACAGTTGGCCTCTACGAGGCCACCCAAACATCCCTGAGCCGATCAACACCCCTTAGGGCCTACAAACTTAACACTGGAGGACCAGACGACAATCCAGCGTGGTTTGTCATTGAAACGTTCAAAGTGTTTTTTTGTTGCAGTCTCGACATCGTTCTTGCAGCTTTCGCAGCTTCAGACCGCGAGTTGTTGGTCGCTTTGGGAGAGCAGCGGTGGGTTCACATGGCGTCAGCTAGGTCTTGCTCAGCTCTGTGCCCTTTCTGCTGAGGTGGAGCTCCATAGCCGCCAGGCTTCACTTCGGACATGGTGTGAGATTCGGGGTCGCTCAGATTCAGCCTCAGGAAGCGACTTGCCCCGACCGAAGCCTATATCAAGGCTTTAGGGTATTACTAGGCAGTGTTATTTCAGACAGCGAGCCCGAAGACCATAGCTAACTGAGCTAACATTCTGGTGATGTCGCAACATAGTCAGGCTTAATGCAGACATAGGGTGCCTGCCAGTGAGCACCGCTTAAGTCTATTTGAACAGAATTCGTTTCCTTGTGGAATGATGCAATGCATCTAGTTTTCGAGTTTGAACTACATGCCAGCTGCTTGCTCAAGCACAACATGCAGTGTATTTGCAGTTGTGCATCGAAATGAGTCTCTAAGTCTTGTATGTTTACCGGATTCATGTAATACATATATGATATATGCATAAATGCATGACTGAATGAATGGAGGAATGAATGAATGAAAAGAATGAAAAGAATGAAAGAAAGAAAGAATGAATGAATGAACATGTGTATATATATATATGTGTGTATACTGTATACTTATACATCCACACATACACACACACACACACTCACGCACACACGCATGTGTGTGTGTGTAGTGTGTTTGTGTGTGGATTTGTGTCGCTGTTTATGCGATGCGAGCAGTGACGTTCAAACGAGAATCGTTTTTGCCCGCCACTCGACGTCAACCTTCTCCTGTTTTGACGATGCCGAACCAGTGCCCCGACATCTGGCATACTGTTTTTCTTTTTCGTCGTAGCTGAGGGGCAAGACGAACCCAGGTTTTCCCGTGGATTTTCATGAACGTTCGACCTTAACTTAAACACCCATGAGCTCCCAACAGAGAATCCCAGTCCGCAGCCCAGGGTGGTCAGCCTATACGCAGCAGGGCGTGGAGAGCTTCAGCCCGGTGGGCTGCAAAGAGATTGGCTAATCGTTTTCAAGGATCCTGACAGTTGCAGAAAGATGCTCGATCACTCAAGTTGAGAGGGCCGAAGCTTCTACCACCCTAAACCTTTTGGGATCCCCTAAACCCTAAAGCCGAAACCTTTTCCAAAAGGCCACATGGGCTACTTCGTAAGCCCAGCTGTGGCACCAGACCAGCGGGTGGAGATCGATAGCGAGGACGCTGTGGCCGTGTGTTGCACAGAGGGATGCGACAATTTAGTGTCCGTTGTGAGTAGGGATCCGTCCTTTAGAAACTTAGGGAGCGATGGTACTGGGTAGGATGCATGGATTCGTTTATCATCATGCGCAGAGCAGCTGGAGCTTTCAGGTGTTTGGTGTCTCCAGTGAAGGGGACCTTGGGGTAGATGTGTTCCCTGCCGGGTTTGCGGTTCATGCTTCATCGTCGTCGTAGTAGTCGTAGGCGGAGGAGGAGGAGGCGGGAGGAGTAGGAGTAGCAGCTGGAGTAGGCGCAGAGCAGGATGAAGATTGGCCGGGCAACATCGGTGTGGAATGGCACCTCGAGGTTCGGTTTGGTTTAAAGATCAGGGTAAACGAAGACATGTCAGAATCGATCTCTGAAGTGTCTCTTTATTACAATATCACTTTATGCATACGTATATATTTCCATATATATATATATGTATATTATACACATGTATCTGTATTTATCTCTTTCTCCGTCGCTCTCTCACTCTTTCTCTCTTTCTCTCTCTCTCTCTCCCTCTCTCGCCCTCTCTCTTTGTATTTGAGGGCTTTGTCCTCTTCAGTTGGGACCACCTCATTTCCTCTTTATATTGATTGATTCTCAGATCGCTTGGATGTGAGTTTGGCGTCATTGGTATCACAAGATGCTTGCCGTGGAGGCATCGGTTCACTCAAGGAGCCCTTTCGCGCAAGGTGATTGTGCGTGTGCGATCTGCTTACTTGCGACTGCTTCCTTGATGAAAATTGTAGTTCTCGGATCCAGATTTCGCGGTACAAGCGGTGCTGCTGCTGTCTGCATGATGAATCGGACTGTCGGAAGCAGCTTTGCAAGATGCGCTATATCGATCTGCTAATGAGATAGTAGCAGGTGGTTAGCTGTGGTATAGGTACCCATCCGTGCCAGGGTGCCACACCGCCACCGCCAGCAGAGGGGCGCCCATGTGCTGAATGCGGCAAGCAGACGGCTGAGGGCCAGTGCGGAGAAGGTGGGCTGTGTGCAATTAGGTCAGGCAGTCAGCAGAGCATTCCCTTGGTTGCTCAGCGATAGTGTTCCAGATGTTAGAGGACCGGGAGACAGTCAAGACAAGGTCGCTGCTTAAGTTTGGCTGAGACGCGGAGTTGGGCTGGGATCCTTACGATTGCCCAAGTCCTGTCCTGCTAAGTAAATGAGCTTCGAACTGGATGGAGATTCGTCGCGCTGAGTTCAGCTCCCACTTTGCAGCTTTGTTCATGAATGCCCTGTGGCTTCTTGTGCTGCAGGCTATTTCGAGGGGCTGTGGTACTGCAACAACTGCTGGGATATGTGGCAGGATGCTCCGCCTGAGGCGGTGCCTGGTTTGATAACGAAGTTCTACCATGAGCCTTTAAATCCAATAGCACAGTACCGTGCAGAAATCGAAGAATTCCACGCCCTCAGCCCCAGAGTGCAGCCCACGTCTAAACCTAAAGTATCCTAGAGTCCTAAAGCTATGCCAAACACCCTAAGCCCTAAAACCCTAAAGGCATGTTCAAGGCGACACACCACTGACACTGGATAGCTATAGTGAGGTCTACTCTGCTGGATCTACATGGATGACCTGTCAGAAACTTCCTATAGTAGTCCTTGAGCTTTGGTCTATGCCTGGTTTGCAGCTTCACTTGTTGAAAAGTCTGAGAAGGGGAGTGAGGGAGGCCCAAACCTTTCCTGCTGATGTACTTAGATGTGGTAACCTTTATGGTCCCAACTAACTTGCTTGACATGGTTTCAAGTTTTTCGGTTCTTGCTGAACCGTGTACGGCGATCGTACTGACATGAGGTCTGAAGGACCCTAATCGATTTCCTTGAGCTGCATCTTGAAACTGGAAGCTGCTCAGAGCGAAGTCGTTGCAGGACAGGCTTATCTGGACATACCCTACAATGCGGGCTCGTCCAAGCTAAGTGGGAGCGAAAAAACCCTAAACCCTATCTATAGATCCCTAAAAGCCCTGGGCGACGAAAGCGGAGCTGAGGTGACGATCAGCCCCTGGCCTCTGGAGCCTGGCGTTGCTGAGGGTGAGGCGAAGGACTTCGGAAGCTCGAGGATTCACTACCAGGATACTTACAACTTATAACTGTTATAAGTAACTTATAACTGTTATAATTTACAACATGGTACACGGAATGTAATGGCTATGATAAACATTATGTGACAATATTCTATAGCAGTTGATCATGATATGATATGAGATGATGCGATGTGAAAGTTCATTCGACTGTCTTGAGGCTTGAGAGGGCCGCGATCGGGTTTAGTTACTTGTATTTCGTGCTTATGCAAGATTTGCTTAATAGCCATTGGGGGCAGTTCCTGGTTGAATATGGTTTAGGTTGAGCCCGTTTGTTGGTGGGATTGTGGATTGGGCCAGGGCCACGGGGTTGTGCCAAAGCTTTTCCACCGCACAGCTTACATAGATCTCGTGTTTATGGACCAGGCTTGATGATTCAGCATTCCGAGTACGGTAGAGGACTTGAGGCTTTGCTGGAAATTCCAGCTGCGGACCTTCCTCAAAGCTAGGGAGAGCTTTCCATCCTACCCTCCGCGATGTGATGTGGAACTTGTCAATGCTTTCCAGCTGCTTGAAGCTTTGAAGAAGGCTCAATGTTGTGAAACTGGTTAGTGCGTGGCTTCAGGCAGCCTATGCGCTGCTAAATGCTGTTAGCTTCCCCGAAAGACCCCCTGACTTGTAAACCCGTCACTCTAGCCCCCGCTCCCCCTCCCCCTCCTACAAAAACAAAACCAAAACCTGTCATAACTTGCACACAGCCCCGAAACCTCGAGGAGCAGCGTGGGGCAGCCGCGCTGCTGCTGCAGGCCCCGGGCACCCTGCGCTGTGGGATCTCTGGCATGCCGGGAAGCCCAAGTCGAAGGGTTTAGGGTTTAGGGTTTGGGGCCTTCATAGTTTCCTATGCTTTTTTTTTGGGGGGGGGGCTCCTTAGTATAGGGGCCGTCATGATTACCTATACTATTTTTTGGGGGGTCCTTAGTATAGGGGCCGTCATGATTACCTGTACTATTTTGGGGGGTCCTGATTCTAGCAAAAGAAGAATAGGCCCGAAAAGCCTGGTTCTAATTCTTCTTAAGGCCCCTAGATGACGGGAGTAGGGGAGGGTCTTAAGGTTTTGGGAAGTAGTTTAGGGTGGAGGATGCTGGAGGGGCTTGGGGCCTTTAAGGTTTTGTGCGAGTTTTGGGGGTTTAGGATGTGCGGTTTGGTTCGAGGAGTGTCTAGATTCCTCATCGAAGGACTGATATTTGATCGCGGACCATGGACCAACCTCCCCTGCATGGCCCGAGTGGCGAGAGTCTAAACCCGAAATCCCGGGGTTTCGAATTCTTATGGGCTCTACTTTTACCTGATGCGTAACTGTCATGGAGAAAGGAGTCTGAAATTCTCGAACTGGTTGAGCTTGACTGACATGGGAATTTGGGCCTGACTGGAGTCCCAGCCTAGATTAGCAGCGGTACTCTTTAATGGGAAATTAATTGTTTTCGGAGACTCAGTCAGCTTTGATTTTCACCGCCAGCAGACCTCGAACCACATGCCTCGCCTTGACTGTCCGAGAGTGACCGCCGAAACATGCCGAAACCCGAACCTACTGTTTAGTGTGCATCTGCCGCTCCGAAACCTGGAAGCGATTCGCAGAAACAAAGTCTGGCTTACGCCGGCACCTTCACTAAATTCGTGCTTCAGCTGTTTTAGGGTTTAGGGTTTAGGGGTTCAGCTTTCTCAGAAGGTGTTGTCAGACCTGAGTTGCTTGTTGAACGATCTTGAGACGCTGACTGAGTTGAGGCTCATGATGGACCCGGTCTACATACCAAGCAGCAACTCAACGCAGCGCCTCCGATGATCCAGCAGTGCAAAGGGCTTTCCGTCGGATTGTGATCTGACACAGACGCAGATTCTGTCTTCAGTCTGGGTAGCCGGGTTCAGTTCTCTAGAGACGGCAAATGTGAGCTGACCTCGGGCCACGCCCGCTTGGTAATTTTCATTTCGTGGAGTTCGCGACGGCGGAAATTGAAAGCAAAGAAGGAAGCACACTCCCCAAAGCCAGTAGGCTTACTTGACCTGGCTTAAGCCAGTTTATGCACTCCCCACTGCTACGCAGACTGCTTACATTTTACATGATAGAAACTATTCAAGACGCCTTGTTGGCATGGTTCCAATTGACTAAAACCTGCTTCAAGTGCGCAATGAAGATGTTCGCTGACCTCATTATGGCCTGAAGCTGTAGGCCGAGCAGTCCGGGATTGTTTTTGAAACCTCCCTGATTAGTTTGTCAAAAAAATTGCACTGCAAGACGTGGACGGTAGAGACATGTGAAAGATACCAGACACATTTGCGCAGCTGCGAGCTGCTTTTTCATACTACTCGGGGCTTCCATTTCGTGGGCTTCCCGGGCCTCGGCCGTGACAGGTATCCCGTTGCCTTCAGCCGTCGGTGCTTGGAGAAGTGGCACCGCCGGGCGGGTGGCCGGTGTCCGCTCACTGGAGCACCTATGGACCTCAAGGAATCCACTGTTTCAGAACGATCGACATAGAGACTGAAGGATTCAGCTGGGATTCATGTTCACAGATAGACAGACAGATAGACCTCTCTCTCTCTCTATATATATATACACACACATATACATATGTGTTTATGTGTATAGGTATAGTTCGCTAAGATAGCAACAAAATTTGTTCAGCAAGCGTGCAAAGACGGACACTTTCAATACTAACACGAAACAACACTCCTTACGTCGGCGATTATTTGCCTGAGGGTTTGCGGTTTAGGGTGGGCTACATGTACATGGGCTTGTCGTGTGCACATAGGCGTCTTCTTGGCCTGAACGTAGGGGCTTAAGTGTATACCAACAATGTTGTGGGGCTCCTTAACACAAAATCTTGCAAAATGTGGCCAGAAGCCTATTCTACATATCTAATGTTTAGTAATTAAGGCCCCTAAATCAGGATTAACTTGCCCGAGCCCTAGATCGATGCAACATCGGGCAGTTCGACAGCAGTTAGCTCCAATACCCGGGGACCCACAGTCCGCTATCCGTTTTGCTTGGTTCGTGCTTGTCTGTATATAGCACATGGACAAATTTAGGAGACAGATTTCTGGTGCCTCTAGACAGAATCCGAGGTAGGGATGATTGTCAAGGAAGCTTCGTAACAACATCCAAATTTGCCGTCACCGCGGCGCAGACAGACCCCACGCCGGCGTTTTTCCAGGGATCCGTCAGTCTTCTTCAGACATCATCTCCCCGAGGACGCCTCCGACGCTTCTGATGTCACGGCGGCCTTGTCCCTTCGCCGCGATGGTACACGTGTTGTTTTCTCTTTGGTGCTGTTTCTTTGAGCTGGTCATTCCATGACAGACGCTCCAAACCAGAAGCCCGTTAACCCGGCAGCTTTTCGAGGTTGGAGTGGTTGGCAAGATCGAACCCGGTAGCGCCGCCAGCATGACTTGGCTTAGCAGGACACCCCGACAAATGTGGTGCCTTCCGATCCCAGCATCGATGATCGGAAAGTGTATGGAAGGGTCGTGATGTCTCGTGTTAGCTCCGTCGACCATGTCACAAGTAGCTGCTTGTAAGTTGTACCGGATCTCTACATAGGCCGTTTTTGCAAAGGCCATCTTCCCAAGTGGCATGGAAAGCTCCTCAGCTGTCGGAGTCAGTCCAGCAGGGCATGGACCCTTGCATCCTTGTCGGAGTTCCTCCAGTTTTTCCCCCCCGGCCGAGTGGAGATTGCCCTGAGGGCCAAAGGACAAAACAGATGTGTATATATCTCTCTATATACCACACAACTACTACCCCAAACCGGAGCACCCTATTGCTTGTCTGGCTGTGTCCGAGTTGCGAGAGCATCGTGATGATTATTGGGTTGGGGTTAAGGGTATAGGTCCCTGCGCAGTATGAGGCAACCAATTGGTCCTTTTGGACCTTGGGTTAGGGGTATAATGTTAAGCTGGGAGCTCCGTCCACGCTGTAGGGTTTAGGGCCCTAGGTCTTTTGGCAGAGATTGGCCGGTGATGCAAGAGCTATATGGCATGCCCATTGGCATCCATCTTCACAGCCCCATGTGTCTTCACGAAATTTCACGAGGGGAAATAGAGGCTGGACAGTCCTGCGAACTCAAAGTTCACATGCAGAAGGTTTTGCCCTGCTTCCTATCCCCAAACCCTATAGAACCCTTACAATAGCCATTTAAAAGCCCCCGAGCTGAGCCGGGCCTCTTGTGCTTCCGCTTTTCCCAGAGCGTGCATGCGGAAGATTGTGTCAGCGGAGAAACGGCTGCAGTGGTTTTTGGTTTGGGCCTTGCTGGCGCTCTGCTTATACTTAAACATAGTAATATATCTATATATATATACACACACACATAATGTACATATACATTTATATATAGAGAGTGAGAACGAGAGAGAGTATGCAACATGTAGCATATGATACATATTACGTACTCATTGTGGCTGTCGCAACAGCCTCTCCGCAGCAGTTGAATCCCCGCATTCGGCCCTTCGCCCACGCCCATATATCGTAAACAAGCTCGGGAAGTGTCGACGAGGATCGGCAATCTTATCCCGACTGTCTCAGGCCACTTGGTCTCCGTCCCGCACCTCGCGTACAAGTGCCATGAGGCCCGAAGCAAGTCGGTGGGTCCTGTCGTTTCGACGTTCGAAACATTCCGTTGGGTCAGATAACTGCAGCGGTGCTCAAAGCTAGCTTAGCACTGGCGACTAGTCTCCACCCTCGCACTTCTACTCCCACTATGCGGATGCGGGCTATACATGCCCATCTCGAAGATTGCACATCATGCCGCACAGTTCTGAGACAGGTCTATATGGCTCGAAGATATTCCTTGCACTCCGTGGCCCTAAAGCCTGAAACCAAGCCGCAATGTGTCCCCTTTCCCGACAGGCGCTTCTGCGAAGACAGGACCGGGCTTTCGAATCCGACACACTCATGCATATGCGCCCACACGTACGTGTGTGTGTGTGTGCGCGTGTGCGCGTGTCTCTGTGTGGGTACTTATTGGTTCATATTGGTCTATGTATTTAGGTCTCACTGTCTATCGATTGATTTACTGTTCAATCGCATGATGATTTGTCGTGAAGGTCGGCTTGTCAATGCATGCATGCATGTATGCATGCATGTATGTATGCATGTATGTATGCATGCATGCATGCATGTATGTATGTATGTATGTATGTATGTATGTATGTTGGTATCTATGTATGTAAGTTTGATTGCTTGTTCGTTCGTTTGTCTGTTTTTTGTTGTGTGTGTGTGTTTGTTTGTTTGTTTGTTAGTTTGTTTGGTTGTTTGTTTGTTTGTGTGTTTGCTTGCTCGTTTGCTGGTTTGTTTATTCCTTAGTTCGTTCGTTGGTGTGTTTTGTTGTTTGTTTCTTGGTCTGTTCATCTGTGTGTTTGTTACTGTTGTTTTGTTTGGTTGGTTGCTTGCTTGTAAACATCTTGGCATGTTTGTATGCAAGGGTTTAAGTGAGCAGAGATTATATATATATATATCTGTGTACATACGGACGATATCTGTATATATATATATGTATATATATGTACATAGGTAGGCAAGCAGATAGATAGATGGATAGAGAGATCCCTTGACAGCCCGACAGATAGATACATCAATTGATACATAAATGGGTACCGGGAGAAGCAGAGAGAAAGACACACTCAGACAGGTTGGTAGGTAGATAGAAGGTAGATAGGTAGATGTCCAGGTTGGTACAGTATTGGTTGCATCAGTTTCCAGTCTATCTATACCTACCGATCTACCTAACCTACCTACCTACGTGCCTACCTACCTACGTACCTACCTACCTTCCTAACCACCCAGCCGCCCACCTACCTATCTACCAATCTATGTTTTTATCGATCGATCGGTCTGTCGATCAATCTGTTTGATTTTCTGGCTATATATCTTGCTAGCCAGCTCGCTGGCCAGCTAGCAGCTAGCTGTCTGTCTGTCTATCTATCTGTCTAGCTATCTCTCTATTTATCTATCTATCTATATGTCTATCTATCTCCCAATCTATCTATCTATCTGTTTATCTATTTATCCATCTATCTATCTATGTACGTATGGAGGCAGATCGGCCGGTAGGTAAGTAGGCAGGCCGGTGGTTAGGTCGGTAGCTGGATACGCAGGTGGGTAGGTATGTATGTAATATATCATTGACAGAGTTGGTCTAGACCAGTCGACCCATCAGCCGACTGTCGTGAAGTGCCATGCAGCGCCAGTTGGGGCCTGGGTTGCACCAGCGCCTTCGTGTTCAGGAGCTTACGTTGGAGAACATACTGGCGTTCCTAGCCGACAGCCCACAGAACATTGTGAGCCGAGTGGCGAGTGGAGTCAAGTGCGTAGAAAAGATGTGGTGCGTTTGTTTCCCTCCCCCAGCAAAGAGCGAATCACTTGAGGATCTTGATGCAAAAGCTTGTCACGATCTGCCCGTTGTCATTGCTCAAGCACACATACAAAGATGTGCTAACCTTGCTGCCAGGGCATCCCGCAAACTGGCAACGATGGGGGAGGCCAGCTTCAGTGATGTTTGTTGCTGACTTTCAAGCTTTCCTTTCCTGCGGAGAGAGGCGTGGGTGGCAAATCCGTGATTCGACGAGAAGTATAAGTAATGTTCAGCCCGCACGTATAGACCAAACAGTCTCCTCGATCTACCTAACTACAAGGATCTATCGATCTATCTATCGAACTATCTGTAGCCGTTTGTCTATAGCCTGTTACATAGACATGAGACGAAACGTGAACTGGCCTCGCTGGCGGGCTGTCAGGGCTCATCCGAAGCAGCTCCGGTGCCGATGCGGCCGAACCAGGCACCGATGCCTCCTTATACGGATCTCTGAGCTGCTGATGTTGATTGTTTCTTGACGCAAATGGTGGTGATGATGAGGAGGGTAATCAGGCTGACCTTGATGATGCTGAGTTTGATGCTGACACTGCTGATGATGGCGCTGGTGATGCGGCTGCTGATTGTGCTTATGCTGATGAGCGCGATGCTGCTGACAAGGAGGTACGGGAGCAGATCACGGCCGTCGTGAGTGTGGCGGTGGTGGGGTTTAGCGTTTGCCTTTGCAGGTTGTTTTGTTCCACGTGATCTGTGATTCTGCAGTGAATGAACGGAGAGGGATGCGACTGACTTGTGTCCGTACGCTATAGATGACAGTGAATGTTGGAGATCTCTTTAGTAGGACATTATTCCCATAAAGCCTTCCGTGTCTTTGTCCAGTCATGCGGGCTCTGCCCCCTAAGCCTGAACGTGCGACAACTTGCTTGCCTGGACAAGCCCTACCATTCTGTCAGCACCTCTCTGCAGAAGATGGAAGCACAAGCTCTGCTTTCCAGTTACCAAGAATTACCAGCTGATTCAAGTCGCTGGCCCTCTCTGCAGTCTTGGTTAGCTTCATGCTTGCCCCCCATTCTCAATATGTCACAGAGAGCTTACATTGTGTTTGCCGTCCCGGTGCATGTTCTAGTTTCGTTTTCTCATATTCAATTTGGTCGGGCACTCTGCGCGTTCGAGAATTCTGCCCGAGCCAAGCATCTCCGAACCTCAACATAGCGAATCTCTGAGGGCATCGCTCATTCTAGTGGACCTGGCAGGTTTGGGCTTTAGGGTCTTAACTAGGGCAGGTCGTAGTCTGGCTAGACTTGAGTCCAGTAGCAACACGGGTTTGATTAGGGTTTTGTTTAGGGTTCCTGGTACCCTTAACACTAGACCCTAAACCCTAAACTCCTAAACCCTAGACCCTAAACCCTAAACCCTATAAACCCTAGACCCTCAACCCTAAAGAAGGTTTGTTGCAAGCTTTGGCCAGGTGGCTATTCACCAGGAGAACTGGGAGAGTCCCGGCTTCGGCTCCGGTGGCTGGGTTTAGGTTGGGTACTGCCCCCCCATACAGTAACAGTCTATCATAGGGCTACTGTGAAGGGGCCTTTTTATATCCATACTATGCAGTCTATATTAGGGCTACTATTCCGGGCCTTATATATCCATCCATATTATGAATATTACTCGACAGTAGGGGGCAGTATCCAGGGTTTAGGGTTCAGGGCTTGATCTGTAGTATTCCTTAGGGTTGCTTAGTGTGAGTATACTGTAAAGTACCCCCAAAACCCTGTTCCAATCATTGAGGCCCCTACTCCTACATTACATACATGCACATGTCCACATATTTACATGTACAGGTATATTCTGATACACACACAGAGGAGCTATACATGTGTGTATACACACATACATGCATGCGCACACACACATGTATATATATATATGTATATATATATATGTGTGTGTGTATGTGTATGTGTATGTGTATGTTTATGTATATGTATATGTATCTGTATATGTATATGTATATGTATATGTATATGTATATGTGCATACTTATCTGGAGAAATATGTACATGTGTCTCTTTCCCGTTCTCTTCTCTCGCACATATACTTATATATGCATGTATGTATGTATGTATGTGTATATATATATATACATACATACATACATACATACATACATACATACATAGACACACACACACACATCCGAACGGTCCGTTAAGTTCTGAGTCTAGCTGACTCATCTGATTGAAGCGGAGCCCTTCAGATCAGACCTCGCGATCACCGGACACCCTGCCAATGGATTGCATCCCGTACAGCAACCTTTGTACCGACCCCTACCTTACAGTGACCCACATAGTAACCCCCGAGCTATGGACCCTTTCTGGCAGATCTTTTGCTTCTGAGGCCCCAGCCGACGTGCCACACCATCGCCTTCGCGTAGTCCCATGGCTCCTGCCAAGCCCCAGGAAGCGGGGGGGGGAGAGGCTTGGGCGTTGAGAGGGAGGTTTGGAGGTTTAGGGCCTCCCAATTGCGGTCCCTGCTCAAAAAAGGGCGTTGGAGGGCCGTTCAGGGTTTGGGTTTCTGCTTCTCTTTCGTCTTGTATTGCTCTCCTCGATGAGCTTCTCATTGCTTTTGCTGCCATGCACGTGTGCTTGCAACTGCCTGGCCGAGGTTAGCGCTGCTTCTGGATTACCGCTCCTACCGCGGGGAAAGGACCAGCAGTCCCTGTAGGGCCACTGTAGGGCTTCCTAGTTCACCTGGATCGAGGGAGAATTGGAGCCTGAAGTTTTCCTGGTTGCATTGCGGGTAGCTGACAGCATGCCTCACCACCCTGCAGCATATGGACCATCAGCCATCCACGTGTCATGAACAATGGCAACGCCCCCAGCTGTCTCGGGAGGACTCGCCAAAGTGAGGTTGGAGAGGCTAGCAGCCAGTCGCAAGTTTCAACAGTTTCACAGTTCCCACTTTCCGGACCTTTTGAAGTACGCAAGGTCTGCAAACAACGTCCTTGAGGTGAGCTTTTTGATTTTGTCTTCCACTTCCAGCGTTTTCGGAGGGTGTGATGGGTCGATGGATATCTGGATCGCGGCTGTGATAAGCTCATAATCGCGGGTGGTTAGGCATGGACGACAGCCATGGGGTGCTACTGCGGCAATACATTGATTGAAAGTTTTCGAAATTATACGCATGATTGGTATGCTGGGCCTTTGGCGCAGGCTAAGGCTGTTGACTGATCCTGCAGTCGTTTGTGCTGTACAAAACCTCCATACTACTGAATCTTAGTTTGCGTTTCTTTGTCCAGAATCTTCCTGCAGAGGCTGTTATGCTTGAATGGTCCACACGCGGGCTGACCTGCTCGAATTGGGTCGATTTGGTGTTCTTTGAGCGGCAGAGTTGCTTCACAAATCTGATGCACTAGCCTTGCAGCCCTCGCACATCGGATCCCATAGCATCCTATATCCTATGTCCGAACGATCATGAAAAGCGTTAAAGTATCACAGAACATGGAGCGTGCTTGCTCTTGGATTCTTCAGACATGTGCCTGGCAATCTGTCTTTCAAGGGCAGAAGATAGAAATGGCGGCAAGGCATGCGTGTCCACCAGTCTTGTAGCAGAATTGGACCGTGAAGATTGAAACCTATTGGTGACAGTATACTTGCCACAGCAACACCTTCCAGAAATTTCGACACACAGCTGAAGCCATGACCCACAGAATAGCCTTCCTCTACTGTGTCTAGCTGGATCGGACTTCCCGCTTTCGGCGCAGTGCACCACTGCATTGCCGAGAGGTGCGACATTTCTGTGTGCATCAGCCGCCTCTTTGACACTACCAGAGTATGTAACCCTTGCTCCCAAGTTTCGGCAGTGGCCCGATTGATAGCGGGGAGGACTGGACCAATTATTCGAAGACGGCTTTCCCGCTCAGAATTTGGAACTGCCTGCTGTCCTACATTGACTCTACAGATGAAGGGCTCTTGTACTAATCAGTAAGGCTGGATGTGCAGAACTTTTCGGAATCTCAGTGTCATTTCTTATGCTACTAGGCAAAGGAAAGTTGAGTCAAATAATAGCTGCACGAAGGGCACGCAGTTAGGACTTTCAAGCAGCCTCGCTTGTGTGCATTGATCACGACCACGCGAAAAGGGAAGCTCTACATGAAAGTCCGCAGCCGCAAAGTACATTTCCCAGTTACTTTAGGGGTGATGTTGTGCTATGTTGTGCTGTGTTCGCACGGCATTGCATGTACCATGATGCCTCAGGTGTCCATATGCATGCCCAGACTCCTCCGAAGAGCCGTGGCCAGGCCTGGCGTTTGTCTTTGGAGCAGTTGGATGTTTGCCAGGCTTCCTACCATCATCATCCATACCTACATGCATTGCTGCATACATACATACATACATACATACATACATACATACAGACATGCAGGCATACGTGCCTACGTATGTATGTGCGTACTTACATGGGTACAGACAGTCATACAAACAAACAAGCAAACAGACGTACCTACGGATACTGTACGTATTGATGCATGCATACGAACGGACGGAGATATGTCCGTGTAAAAGAGCCATCTGCTAATGCTTCTCCTGCCGGAAGCCATTAACTGGGCCATTTCACAGTGGGCGTTTGCGCATGCGCCTATGCCGGAATGTACTTTCCTCAACTGGATAGCGCCGTATACGGTTGCTGTGGGATTTCTGAGATCTGCCAGGTCGCGATGGACGTCTCCAGCGCGGACCTTAGCTGAAGTGAGGAAGAAGGCTTGATAACTTGAGTGGCTGTAGCAAGCAGGCTTTTCGCTGGGACGTACCTGGGTGCTCAAATCTTTACAGCACAGACCCATGCTCGCACAGTGAGGAAGGGCATCATGTGGCGGGTATCCTACATAAGTCCTAGCCGGTCCTAACCTGGAGCTTTGTAAGGAGGAAGCTATGTGGTACTTGGGAGTTCTCACCCATCTATCATTTTGTTGAACCTCTCGGCAGATTAATGAACGTGCCATCAGCTCCCCTGCCCGATGCTACGCTGCGCGCCAGTGAACGCGCCCAAGGGAATGCCTTTGTACTGGAAGGACTCGTGTTCTGACTCTGTGATTCCACATATCCCCTAAAGCATGTGCTGCATTGGCGCTGCAAAGGTTTCTGATCAGTCGATATCTCGATGGTGAATATACCTTTAGTTCTATGTATATCTTAACCCTATATAAAACCCTATCTTCACCCTATAACCCGATCTTTACCCCACAACCCGATCTTAACCCTATAACCTATAACCCGAGCTGAACCCTATAACTCTATTCTAGTTCTATGTATCTTAACCCTAAACCTTAAAACCTATAAACCCTAAGCCCTTAACCCCTAAATCCCAAACCTTAAACCTTAAACCCGTTTGTCTCATCTGCGCCGAAGCTTCCGAAGGCCCGGCCGGCAAATCCAAACCGCTGCCGAAGCAGCGGAGCTGTAAGGCCGGCAGGGGCCTTTCATACATATATATATAACTATATGTATATATGTATAGATGTATACATATCTACATATGTACGGATATATATATATATATACACACACACACACACATATATATATATACGAATTTGTTTCTATTTATTTATCATTTTTCTATGCATTTGTCATATCATGATTAGCTTGCGTTGTCTCTATGTTATATCCTGTTCAGAAGCCTTGGGTTTAGGGTGGGTAACGCTCCAAGAGTTCCGGGGTTTTCAGGGGTTTCGGGGGGCTAAGTTGTAATCACAGGGCTTCAGGGTTTTAGGGGTGATGAGAACTTCTAGAGATGTCTTGCTTTTTGGGGGTCAGTCGACCATCGTAGGGGGGATTATGCGGTTTCTGGGGGTTTGAGTTTGCACCCTCGTTTTAATTTTGAGACCTCTAGAGCCTACAGCAGGCAAGAGCATGCTTGCTTGCAGTCGTTGACTGACAACGGCCCAAAATCATTGATTGTGAACACTCAGCGGAGGTGTCGATCTTAGATTCTTAGATGCGGTTCAAGCAGATTCACGCACACGTAAATCGTCGATGTCGCAGCCGCTCGCTTGGTTTGTCTCTGGCCCTTGCACATTCAGTGTTGGAGTTGGCTGAGCTTTTTGCGTCTTGTGAGCCTCAGATGTTCCGTGATATCGAAGATCGCTGCACAGCCATGGGGAAGCTTCCTCCTACCATGCTGGCAGGCATATCTCCATTTTGGTTTCTCTCTCCCTCTCTCTCTCTCTCTCCCTCCCCTCCCTCCGCCGTAAATTGCTCTTTCGATTTGCAAATCTATCTGTGGGTCTATGACCAGTCTGTCAAGCTGGAATTTGTAATCCCTGCGACCGACCGCAGGCAGCCTCTGGCGACGGGGCGGCACGACCTGAGTCGCCAGGTTGGGTGGTGTTGACCTTGACTCTGTAAATCAACTTGTGGGTTGCCCCGATGTCTCAAGCTAGGACTGGTGGAACTTCGGGACGTCGGGGTTGGCACGACATAGGCCCTTCCATAAAAGTTGTATGTTAAGAGAAGTCGTATCGGTACGTGTGTGTATATATATATACACACAGATACACATGTAGTTATATGCATATGCATACATGTTTATGTAAATACTCATCTGTGTATGATGTGATTTGCTTTTTATGAACTCATTTGTTTCTTGACCCGCTATTTCTCGACCTGTTTATGTAAACATGGGGCAACTGGGCTTCAGGGTTCGTTACCTGATATCAGGCCTCGTGAGCTCTGCAGGACGCCGGCTGGAAGGTTCAGTTTTGCTCTAGCAGACTTTGGGGATTTCGCATAATCTGGAGGGGTACCGTTCGGTAGATTCAGGATACTACTTGTAGGGTCTATGTTTGGGTGCCGGGTGAGGTTTAATGCGTGACCCTGGTGTCACTGCTTCCTCTTCGTGTTCCGGTGTCCGAATCCGCCAACCCCAAAAGCCCAACTTTATAAGGGTCTTTGAAGTGCCCCACCCGGGTTCTATAGGGATTTGTTAACCTAAGCCTAAAGCCTAAAACCTAATCCCTGTTAATCGTCCCTTTCTGAGATCCCGGGATCCCTGAACCCTAAACCCTATCACAAACAGAAACCTCGTGCTGAAGCCTGATTCTAAAGCCTAAACCCTAAGCTCTTTCTGAGGTCCCGGGATCCCTAAGGTCCTAAACCACAAACCCCTAAACCCTAAACCCCTTAACCCTCAACCCCTAAACCCCTAAGCCTCTATATAAACCCCTTAACCCCAAACCCTTTCTGAGATCCCGCGGTGGCTAGAAGTCCCGGAAGGCTCCGCTTCGCCAGCACCGGGCCGACCCCCAAGCAAGCACTCTGCTCTCCTCTTTCGGGCTTGGCTTCTGGGATGACTATCAGGGTCATATAAGATCATTAATATAACGTAATATATAAGATAATATAACTAATACAATGTAATATAGAAGATAATATACTCACTATTTTCATGAGTAGAAGAGGCTATTGGTGCGTATCGTAGTATAACTACAATAAGAGGTACACTCTAATTAATGCTATTAATGCTATTATACCAGTTATTCAGCCTTTATATCGAGGGTTCGATGTGTTGAAGGGGCCATCATGGGGTTCTGGACAGGTTTTAGGCTGAAGCTTGTGAGCATCTTGGCCGAGTGCAGACTGGAGTTCAATGAATGGTTACTCTATCATGTTCTTTGTTTTCTCATGTGCCGTATTGTTTGGGTATCACTAGGCTTTCCGTAGAAACCAAGAATTCCGGACGATCGGCTTCGCTAAGGGCCGAGAAAGTTCCTGCTCCAGGGACATGATGCATGTATGATGAACATGAACGATGCATGTATGACGAGCATGAACCCGTTGCGAAGAACCCAGGGCAAACAGGAAACTCGGAAAATCTGCTTCGTTGAGGGTTGGCAAAGGGCCCGCGACAAAATAGCAAGATAAACCATGATAAATACATTGAAGTGACAAAGAAGACAGTGGAAAACAGCGAACTTCGGAACATTTGCTCCCAGGAAAGAGCCCGTGGCAAGCAGCCGTTACATTTTGATGATCTGTGACAAGGGAGATGATGAGAACCGAGGGAAAACCAATAGCAACGGAAATCTGCTATGCTGAAGGGCCGGAAAAGAGCTGTCGGCAAGGAAATGGTAAAGACATCATAGATGGATGATACATGATCAACCAAGTATGTTGGTCGCCTTGCTGTGTCGATGGTGGTTGAGTCCTCTGGGAGCCGAATTGGAGCGCTGCTGGCAGGATTTTGGACAATTCAGTGGGGCACGGTCTTTGCAGAAGCCGGTTCGGAAGTTTGATGTGCGAGCCAGCTGATGCTTTGCTGGTCATCCTAGATCTAGATGTTGTTTCGGCGTGCTTCGCAACAATCAGCTGGTTATGCTGCCACACCACCTGCAGTTCATTCGTTGGACGAGACCTTTATCTTTTGACACCCAGAAACAATTTAACTGGGATAAATCTACGGGCGTCCCTCGTCATCTTGCAACGGCTCAAGGCTTATAGGCTCGTGACGAACCTGGACCGCGATGAGACTCGGTCCGTCATAATAATACATCGTAGAAAGCCAGTAGACCACGGGTCCAGTCTTGCGCGACCCTTCACTGATGTCCCGACCTCAACATCGTCCAAAACCGGGTGCTGCGAACGCGGACAGGTCGGAGTTCCTGTATATTCCAACACAGATGTAGCCCACAAACCCTACTGTAATCCTAAACCCTAAACTCCAAAAGAGCACTTACCCTGCCAAGCGGGCTTCGTCCTAGCTAGGTGGGAGGCAAAAAAGAAGAAGAGGCCGTAAGGATCAGACCAGGAAAGCCCTGCGTACGCCCTGCTTCGCACGTTATTAGAATAGCGCATATTGCAGTTTATCCATCGTAATATTGACTGTGGTGAAGATATTTTCTACGAGGACTATGCACTATAACTTTAACAGCTCGATCAGCACATCTCCTTTCGGGCATTTCCTTGCGATCCGTCGATGTGCGATTGACGCCATGCCGGTCGCAGATCTCCCAGGTTAAGCCCAGAGGCCCAGCCTCAGCGGAGAAAGGCTGGGCTTGCATAGCATACTTGAGTATATCATGGTATGCAACCATGGCTCATCTATAATGGTATGATCTCATCATGGATAACCTGCAATATACTATAGACTATAGCATATGATGGTTTATTTATACTCAGCCATAATGTACAATGTACCACAGTCACCAGTTTGTGACGACTTACTTCTCAGAGGCCTGGCTGCATGATGCGAAGCGTGCGGAGCTCTCTGAGCTCTTTCGGCCAGGAGCGCATTTGCAGAAATGGTTCCTTCGGCAAGGCTGCAGGCATAAGCGATTGCGGGGCATGAACACTAGACATGTCGCTGGTAGCCTGTAGCCATCTAGTATGACAGAGCTCAGAACCAGTCATGCCCGCTTTGTAATTATCCACCGGGTGTGGCAGCGGCAGGACTTAGACAACACCGATGGAGCAGATGTGCCAGCGACACCAAAGACCGGGCGGCGTTTGCGTATGGATTTTTGAACTTTGGAGCTTTCAGTTGGAATTCCTCTAGCGAGGGCTCAGATTTGGCCGTGCAGCTGCAGAAGTCGGCTCTTCACGGCTGTAGCTATGCTTTCAACTCCAGCACATGCTTGGCTTCCCGGTGGAAGGACCATGCAAACTCCGAAGTTCTTACGAGAGAATTTGGACCTCCCTTAATCCGCGGTCGTGCATGCCGTTAGTGCCGTCCTGCGGCATTGACGGCACCACAAAGAAAATGAGGCACATGCTATCTTGCCTGTCTTCGGCACATGGTTCTGTGTCGACAATAGCAGGAAGAGCTCGGCCGGCGGCGCGGCAGAACGGCTCCGAAGTTCGGTGCGCTACTTCGGAAGCACGCTGGCTGAAATTGAACGGAAGTATATAAGCTCAGGTACGGCATTGCCCCGAAGCGAAGCTTTGCACGCTACGACAGGAATCCCACCTCTTGTATATTCCAGAGGTATTGCCTTGCCTCCCCTTGCTTCGCTCTCTAGACTTGGTATGTGCCGAACAGAGCTCGATCATATACGTACTTCCTGGATTTTTTTGGACCGCTCTCGTTAATAGGCTCGTTCTCTGTGCACGTCGGTGTTTCTCCATCTGCTTTCTGCAGTTGGATGCCGCCAGATCCTGCAGTTGTCTGCGTGCTGCCAGGAAAGCTTACTCTACAGCTGTCACGAAAAGACTGCCCTGCCCGGTCAATCGCAAGCCGAACTCCGTTTGCCAGCATCGTCCCTATACCTTATTAAGTTTTTTGTGATACGGCGTTCGAGACCAAGCTTGCCCAAAGCCAGCCAAGACGCTTGAAAGGCCTGGTGATCAACCCCGGTGGTTCCGCAGACTACTTGAGCACCGGAGGAAACCTGATCCTCATGCGCTGCTCTGCTCGAACGCTATTTTAGAGTCAGACGATCAGTGGTCATAGGCCTTTTGCTACACAGGTCATTATTAGTCTTGGCAGTCAGAGGTACCCACAGGATCCCACAGGCACATTGAAAGATAGGTGCAGATTGATTGCGTCAGTGAGTGAGGGAATCAGGGAGTCAGAGGGTTTGTGAGGGTTTAGGGTTTAGGGCCTAAACCCTATAAACCTTAAACCGAGTAGGGGTGCGTGAGTGACTGACTTCTGAGCACGTGGAAGTGTCGGGCGCGTTGGGCAGCACCTTCGCCCAGAGAAGAGGCGGCACCAATAGCAGTCATGAGCATTATATTGTAATGTCAATGTAAGTTAAAGTACTAATAGAATTTAATATAGTACAGTAAGTATAGTGTACGAATAATTAATACCTTATCAGTCCAGGGGCTGGTTGTGTCGGGCAACCAGTCCGAGTCTAGGATCCATCCGAATGCCCGATTCAAGGGCAGATGCTGGGGGGGGGGTGGGGGAGCTATTGACTGCTTTATGTGATTGAGGATCGCAAGTAAGAACTAGCCTTGCTGCCTGCCTGATTCCTGCAGAAACCCCTACATTCGAGGCTCCTCTGTGTCAACGACCAGCTTCTCCGGCGATGGGGACGATCGTGGCAGAGGCATGCAGTGCAGGGATTGCAGGAGGGTTAGGGGGAAGACGGCTCCTCAAAAGTACCTGACATCATGTCAGGCTACAGCGTTTCTGAAGATTTGCCCCGGACCAACGAGGGAGTCGCAGCATCGCCTGTCCTGGGTCAGGGCTCGGGCCCATAGCAAGCATAGAAGTTGATTTCTTTCGTGCTATGTGGATTGTTGTGAATCTTCTTCTTCCGAGTGGGAGTGCCTGAATTGTGTTCTAGGAGCAACCGGCGACTGCGCTCGCATGTTTGGTACATGGCTCTAGCAGCTACTAGAAGACTGAAAAATGCATGCGAAAGGTTCAACCGCACAAGTTGGACGAATGGTAATCGCAATGATCCAGCTAAAGCTGGTATTCTGAAAGTCTTGTATGGCTAGAGTTTCGGTGGAATAGAGTGGTCGTTAGCAGTACGAGTACCCTGCTCACTCGCGCAGCCGTCTCTTGCCAGCTGTTCCATTTGGAGGCCGCTGTTGCGCCGCAAAGTCCTACTACGTGCCGCAAAGCACCCTCAGGTGGGGTCCCGGCAAAGTCTCCTTCGCAAGCTGAGTAGGAAGCCCTATGTCCTATGAAAGCCCAACTGCCTACACAGTGTTATAGTGCGGTGATCTAACTATAAGAGAGAGAGAGAGAGAGAGAGACCTACCATTGGCCGGGGGGCCTGACACGCCCCTTATGCCCTGGGGAAGAAGAAGAAGAGACCTACCATTGTTGTAACTAACGAGCAGGTTGGAAAGGGCAGTCTCGAAAGAATAGCGACCCCATGTGAACTACTGAGACGATTCTACGATCCTTTAGCCTTGTTGCCTCGTCCCTTTGTTTCGACCAGACGCGGCTTTCTGAAGCTGGAGTCTCGCTACTCCTCCGATGCTCCAGGCGGGCTAGCGGCCCAAGAGCCATCAATGGCCAAGCAAGTGTCTTTTCCAGGGGCTGGGCTTTGGGATTTCATTCTGTCTTGGCCATCGGTATTTCGAGTATTTCGTCTTACCAAGGCGTTGCGGTCCTGAATTCTGAAGCAACCCTAGGCTTGCGTAGACCATAGAAGCGCTTTCCAGCATGTCTCGGTTGAAACCCGATCATCACCCTTCAGAGACAGCGGTGACGAAGGGCTCCCCCACGACAAAAGGAGAACCCGTGAACTGGCCATCAGGTGATCTCCCTCCGAGTATCATCCTGGGCGCTTTGCGGCGATTTGATGCGGAGTTCCGGCCAGGGCGGAACGAGGCGGCTGTTACGCTCCCCCTTGGGGCCCCTAGGGTTGGGGGGGGGGTTTTAGGGCTCGGATTTCTTTCGGAACTTGGCATCAGACGTTCCCCTCCACGTGTTCCCCCCAATGCATGCTGAACACGGTCGTGGTAGGCCGACTCTAGCTGCATGCTTCTTTTGTGTGGTGGTTTCTTGATAGCAGATGCCTTATCGAGAGAAAGCCTTCCTTTTTCCAAACGAACGGCCCCGACCCGAGACTCTTGAATCTTGTCAGATCGACCGCTTGAACCTTATCGAGCAGCTCGCGACTTGCTTGCACTAAACCCCGCGGGCTGGCAGCCCTCACGCTTAGGACCCTATAGGACGAAGCAGAAGCAAAATGACAGCGAAGCAGGGGAAGCATCAGCAGGGCAGCTGCAGGTGGCATTGCAGAAGGCGAGCAGTCGCCCTGAAACGGTAATGCCACAGCCGAGGCCCACTCCGAACGAGACATCGGCAAAGTCAAGTGGAACTGCAAAGAGCTGTTACAGGCTCTCGGGTCCGTGTGTAGAGCAGGGAGCAGACTGGAGGGCTTTCAACGATGCCGTGATAAGTGTTGCGCATTTCCGATCTCTGACCAAAGCCACATGACACTCGGCAACAAGACGAGCACGCCAATGCCGCGTTGGGAATGGCGAATGACTCTGACTGGTTCATCTGGGACCCAGACGCAGAGTGTCACCGAAAGTGTTGCATATTTCCGGCTCCATATATGCTTTCCTTTCAATGGGCGGTGTGGTTTTTTCTGCAACGTTTTGTGTTGTTCCTGCCAGGCCTTCTTCGTGAAAATGAACCCCTTCGAGCGGTTATACTTTACGGTAGACGTGGGGGGCACCTCCAGCTTATTGTCCAGAGTCGCTCGGAAGTGTTTGTAATGTTTCGGGGGCGCTTCGGCCTTGCATGCACCTCGTCCTACAGCGGAACAGAATCCGAAGCTTCCGCACTCCCCCGACAAAGCTTCCGACTTCCGTTGCACACTGATCTGCGTACACTACTCGAGAAATTCTCGCAGTCGAAGAGAATCTCCGAGGCTGTCAGCGCCATCATGGTTGCAGCCATCGTGATTAGCATTGCGATCTGGATGGCCGGAACCATGGTCTCCTTCTCGGTAGCTGCTCAGCTGCACGGACATGTGAAAAGCTTGGCATGGCATGTACAGACGATCTACAAGCTGAAACAGATTCTCACGCATAGGCAGAGGTCCATGTGTTTGCTCCCGTGCCTTGGTTCAATGTTTGGCTCGTCTACCATGACGAAAAATAGCTTTCCGTGGTGGTAGTTTCAGTAGTGACAGCCGGTCTATCATATAATATGCCGCTACAGCATAGTATTGATACATACTGTTCTGCATGAGGTTTCATTTCTTTACACACACACACATATATATATATATGAAGCATCCTTTGGTGCCAGGGGGTGCTGACCGTCCCGGGCATAGGCTACTGCATGACTGTATGCCCCTTATGGTTGGTCAGTTTACTGCGCATTTCGGTGGTCCGAGTTCGTTCTCATTGACTTAGGGCTTCGAGTGTCGAGGGCATCTTCAGTTGCTGAGGGTTCGGTGTATATAAGGGCTTGGTGTATATTGTGTATGTGTATTTTTTGGGGTGTGTGCAGGATAATCAATTGGGGGCATTCGTTTCTTACGAGAATCGGGATGCCAATGAAGAGAGTGACACCGTGAAGCGACTCGCTTATCCGTAGATCCCAACCACCTCCCCTATCCGCCTGGTCCAAGCTCAATTTTCCTGCACAGCGATAGATAGTGAAAGCTCTGAATCTCAAAAGGTTTCCAAAACTCGCCTGTACAATCAACCGTTGAAGATATTCTTGCTCAGTCTCAGATAGGGTCTATGGGTCTAAAGTCCTATCCTACAATATCGTATGCGTTTTGTTCGGGATAGGTGGCGTTTCTTTCGCTTGAAGCGACTAGCCTCGCTGAGTCTGGCGCCACTGCACTCTTCGACTGTTCTATCCATTGCTACTTTTGGTTGTTCGTTTCGGTTTAGAGAGTGTCGTGGGCCTTGGAGTTTGTCGCTTGCTTCTTTCAGTTCGGACGAAATCCCTGTGGTGCGACTTGGTCAGCTGGGCGGGTCGGAACATATCACTTAATGTTCATAATGTGTTGATAGTGTTTCAGAATGAACACAAAATACTAGAATAGAACTAAAATATAACATTGGTTAATATAACACAGTATACCATCACATAGTACAATATAACATAGTATGACATGACAGTTTATCGTTTTCATGATATGCCCTCTATTAATATACTTTCTATAATGTAGTAAACTACGATCTGAAATATATACTATGTATAAAAAATAGTAAAATATCAGATGCATTGTGCACTATATTTTCAAACCCGACAAGGTCCCTTGCACGGACTGCGAGCCCGAACCGCTGCCCTGGATGCAAGTGGCCGGCCGGCCCAGTGAGCCTCTGAAATTCCGGGTATCCAGTAAAGAGACGCGTTAGGGTTTAGGGATTGGGGTATAGAGACTATAGGGTTTCGGGGTTAGGGTTTAGGGCTTAGGGTTTAGAGCTCAGGGATTGGGGTTTAGGGCTCAGGGTTTATGGGGTTTAGACTTTAGGGACTAGGGTTAAGGGATTTGACGCCAAAACCAATGATCTGAGAGCTTGGGGGAAGGGCGGTAGATCTGCAGTTGAAGCCTAGAGGCTTGTGGGCCTAGGGTGTTCAGAGAATTGGGGTTAGCTCGCAGGAGCTCCCTGCAACAGGGTAAGATCCATCGTTTTGGTGCTTGCCGACCGTCACAACGGCAGCGGGATGGCGGTAGTAGTTCTGAGGCGAAATGCATCACTGATGTCAGAATTTCAATTGCCAGAGAGAAGAAGAGTCAGCACCAAGAGGCGTAGCCATGCATTTGCCAACAGAGTCAGACGTGGAAATGTATGGACGCTTCTTTGGCAGTGGGTTGTGGTCTGGTCGGGCCCCAGAGAAAAGCCAAGCTTTAGAACTTGAATGCCAATGCATAACAACCCAGTTCGCTGTCGAGTTGCCCATTTTACCTTGTAAGCTTGGCATGGTCAGATAAATCCTAGCATATCTCGCTTGTGCGCACAGTTCTCGGCCAGGGAAAAATACCATTTTCGCATATCTACGCATGTCCCTATATCTCCACATTCGTAGCCTCCGTCACCGTGGACAGGTCGACGAGACCTGCGTTGTCATTTTTACCATCGAGTTCCTGACAAGGTCGAGGGCTTTTGGTGTGAAGATGGCTGTTCATGGGGTTGTGGTGATGGTTAGTAGTGTCACTGCAGGCAGTATCTGAGGTGACCGGCTTCCACTCTCTTCTGGCGTGTTGCTTCTGAACACGTTCTGGCCCGGTTCATGTAGGGATGTTCAGGGCCTCTCCATCTTTTGAGTGGCCTGAGTGCTACCACACTCTAAGATGTCATTGCCCTGAGGATGCTCACCGCCCCGTTCGCGCGAACCAAGCTGCTGAATCGGCGATTCCTGCTCGACCCACAGCTTCGATTTTGCAACGTAAGGATGCCATAGAAGCCAAATCGAACCGATGCGAAGGCATGACGTAGAGGCATCAGTGCAGCAATGCGGTTTGCATTCGAGTTATCCGTTGCTGCTTCATGTTCAGGGTTGTTTGTACGATGCTGCAGGCTGTCCACGAACCGGGCAAGTCTTAAAATGCGAAGCAGAGCCGAACACGTTAATGTCCGGCCTGGTTCCATGACGCGATGCCACTAAGCGCTAGACCCCCTTAACTTAACAGGCCCTCTATCATAGGTAACAATCAGACTAGGGCTTAGGGCTTTGAGGTACATTGCAAAACAACTATATCCGGGATTCTGTGGGAATAGTGTCGCCAACGGTTCCGATGCCTAGATGCCGCTGGAGCAAGGAAACTGTCTTTACCGTCAACGCGAAGACGGAGGATGCTTCGGAACTCTCACAGGCAGATCTAGGCCGATCCTCGTCCGCAACGATCCGAAGAGCTTCAAGTAATGTGGGGAAGGGGGGGGGATCAGAGTTCCCATGCACTTAGGTACTTACTCTGCAACTCATGTATACTGTATGACAGCTTCAAAGGGAGCGGCGAAATGATGTACATTTATGTGTTTTTGTTGTGCGTGTGCATCTTTGCGTGCATGCTTGTGAGCTGCAGAGGGCCGAATTTGAGAAAGGGCGTGCATGCTTGTGAGTTGCAGACTTTGAGAGGGGGAAAGCTCTTTCTTCAAAGTACGGGCCCACACCTCAACTGGAAATCAGCAATCCCTCATGGACAATGTTTGCCACTTGTTTTCTGCACCACAGGCATCCAGTGGTCCAAGTTCGCCTCGAACTGGTGGAGCTTCTGGAAGCAGCCCGCTGCGATCGTGGATCTGTTCACAGTTCTGCCCTATTGGATTGAAGTGCCCGGGCAAAAGATGAGCGCAAAGTCCATTAGTTCTCCCGAACACCAAGAGACACTGGTTCCTTCAACGTTCTCGGATTTCGATCTCTCCGAAAGCCCCGACCGATAAGACGCATTCAGTACTGTGATCTGGCCGCGGCCAGGTTGCATGAAGCCATTACAGGGGCATGTCTTTACACACTCTATCTATTCTACTCTCATCTAATCTACTCTCTCTAATCCTACCGATCTATCTGTCTATCTATCTATCTATCTAGCTATCTATCTATCTACCTATCTATCTTATACATGCTCGTGTGGTTCAGTACACATGATTGAGTGTGTGTGTGTATACATACATATATATATATACATAACT